ACAGGATGATCGTAAACTACCGAGAAACGGGATGAACAGGAGCCAGAAACCGATTCGCGATTTTTCATCTTCGTTACCTGATACCACCTTTTCCTGCGGCAAGTGGAGCACGTATACACTTATTCGCCGGTGCTGCCCTCTACAGTTTCCTTTCATTGGCCCCTTATCTCCGACCGATGGTGAATCACCGCGGCCAACACCGATGCCCAGAGAAAGAGACAGTCGGAAGAAGGAGAGAGGTCCATGGTGATGCTTAGCACGTGTGTGTGGTGGACATGAAATAACCGAGGTAGAACGCGAGAGACAGAGTAGGGAGAAACTGGAGTCGGAGGGGAAGCGTTATGCAGAGAAAGAGAAGGGGAGTAGGAGAAAGAACCATGGGCATGGTGTTGACCGGGCTTTGAACCCTGATCCCACTGGAGTACTACGCCGTAGTACGGCCTCCCTCCAGATTGTTTCGTCCACTCTTCTCGGTTTACCACACTATCAACCCTGCTTCGTCTCCACCCTTTCTTTCATACTCCGCCAACAACGATCTTACCATTTTTCGATACTTTCTGTCCCTGGACAGTTTCGTACTCGACGAAAATCTAACCTAAAGGACATAAAGAAGCTACGAAAAGGTTCTAGGTGACCTTGATGTGCCTTTCGCGGATCACTGAAAATGTTTACAAACAGTATACCAACCAGTCTTAGATGTCTATCGTCGGAATTAACGGTAAACGTGTACGAACGTTTCATTGAGGAAATATACACGATGCGAAGCACGATGCAATTAAGCTTCTTTCGTGTTAATAATTAGGACGTCTAGAAGGATTGGAAGAGCGATTATAGAGGATAAAAAGTTGGATAAAAAAAAATGGTCTGTTAGGAAGAGACCAAACACAGAAGCAGAAGGCACGAAGCACAGACGCCGCGTGTACCTTACAAAGAGGCACAAGCGAGCTCCTCGTCTTGCGCATCCTCGAAGACTTCGAATCACAGGCAACTACCGCTTTGTCCTTACTTGAAGAGGCGGACGGTAGGGGATGGGATGATGTTCACCGATGGTGGGGCAAGAAAGATGAGCAGGGTAGGAAGGCAGGGAAGGTGGAGGACCGTTGCACTGACCGGGCTTTGAACCCACTATGTGGTAAACAACAGGTACGTTGCACTCGTGGCGCAATTTGTAAGAGGCGAATTCAAAGAAGATTCTTCTTCAGGAAGTAGCCGTCCGAAAATAATGCCAAAGACTACTTCGAGTAACGGCCACCGCTTCTAATACTGCGTTCTATTTTTTTTCTTCTCTGCTAAATCATAGAAATTTTCATTGCTTTCGAAATGAGTAGTAATGCGAGATCGTGAGAGAGGAATACGGGTCATCACAGGAAGCAAAGTCAACGGTAACGTTCGTTAAGATACGAAGGAGCCTCGTTGACGTTGAAGCAATCTACATATAGTTTCATAGAAGAACTTTGATATCGTTTCCCGTTTTTGAACGCGCTTCTAAAATCCTCTAACAAGGAAGTAGACTATCGTTTCTAATCGGAGGCAAATGATATCAGGATGGCACAGCGTTGTCGGCTTCCGGTTTGTGAGGCAGCTGGAGCTTCACGATCGAATCTAGACGCCTCTTTCGTAAAAAGGCGTAACATTTTTCCGTATTCGTGTAACGATTACGACCATCTTAGTTTATATTAATCTTACAACATATTTTTCTGCAATATAAGTCTCACTTATGTTTATGTTACGTTATATACTTGTTTGGAAATTAACACGAATTTAACTGATACTGCAAAGTCTAGAGGATTAAAAAATTTGAGTTCCAAAATGTCCATATGCATATCTTCAGAGAGTAGTAACAATAAAAATCGATGTAGATCTACATTATATCGGTATAACTTATACGATTTTCTCTTATATCTCAAATAATATCTAAATGCACCACTTTGAATCTTCGGTCAAGAAGAAATCAACGCCAGTTTGGATAATTTTATGTAAATTTATATCAGTATTTGTTGTGAATCGATATCTCTGTCAATAGGCCTAGTTACCGACATTTTCAGTTCCTACTTCGACCACTATCTGTCGCTACTGTCGCAAAATTCCAAAAGAATATTTCTATTTATTACAATATCCTTTAAAATTTAAAACGCATGATGCTCATATCTTTGTTACATTTTCCAAATTATTCAATTGTTACTCGACAAAATTACATTTATGTTATTATTCTAACAATAACAATTAATAACATATTTATTTATATTATGTGCAAAGATAATTAAAAATATTCAAATTGTCTTTTGTCGAGTGTGTGATAAAGACAAAGTTATCACTATTTGCAGGAACGTTGTCTGCCATTGCGTACATAAATTCTCACGGTAGTGAGTCGATAACAAAATCGAGGTCACTTCCGGCTTTCATCCCCAAGACCTCCTTAAGTACGAAACGTAATTGTGTAAAAATTAAACGATCAATAGTCTTCATGCAGTTAACTATCTTTTTAGTTACATATAAGTATAATGACTGTCTACATATTAACAAAAAATAAACATAAGTATTAATATACGTATGTATATCTGAAATACTTTATCACAGTTTTATAATGTGCTACTTTTTTTGCAATTCTTGCATCAAATGATAATGTATGCAACGCAAGCAACGTTATAATATCAAAAAGTAACAGGAACGTTTAAAAAACGTATAAACGCCAATGTATTCTACTATGTATGTTTTGTAGAAAATATTCTACCAATTAATTATTATTCTAATAACACGTGTTCGTGCTCGTTTTTTTTACAGAAACCCATATTGGAATTTGGGGAATTCTTTAGACAGTAGTGGACGGGTCTACGAACAGGGCACTCTCATTCAAGAATGAACGTCGAAATGTGAGCGTATCGTCTAAAAATACTGTTGGTGGGCCGAGGTGCGCCTAGCAACAGAGATTGCATAGAAGCATAACTATAGTGAACGTGCGTGTTTATACGCCGAGGCACAACGAGGACATGAGTTACGGAAAAAGGAGCCTGACAAATAAAACTTCTTCGTTTCTATAAAACAATTTTTAAAATTTTAACAAATAACCAGTTCGTATCGAATTGAACTTCCTATTCGTTGTATATTTAACAATTATTCCAGTATACTTAAAACTATATATGTAGTACGTTCATGTAGAAAAAGTTTTCGTATCGATGTTTAGTATTTAAATCGAATTGAAAATGTAGAAAATAAATAACATATCATGTTTAACTAGTGTGAAAAAAAACTTGTACGATGTATGATGTATAAAAAGATGTGTGATAAAAGACAGGACATATTTTTATGCGTCTTCTCGAGGCACGAGACGAGTGTATATACAGATAAACATTCAAAAGAGCAGATTACAGAAAAATACACAGACTGTATTTTAAAGAATAGTCGTCTTAGTCCAAAATAACCATATAGTTCTTTATATGTATAAAAAAAAACAGTAAAAAATACTTTTTAAAAATTTGCCTTTCCACGTTGTTTACAGAAATTGAAGACATACGTCGATTTCGATCTATTATTGAAATTTTCAATGTTTCATTGATTGCTTGTATCTACCCAAGGAAAAAGTGTGATTCACTAAAGAAATTCTTGCATAATCCTCTGACCTCGATTTTGTATTCGCGCGACGATCCAATAACTCAAATTGATATTAAACGCGTTGCTCCGGCCAACGTTCGATGCATTATTTTCATCTGACATATAATGAGAAACGTGATTATGAAATCGCGTCAACAACCATAGATTCGTATGACAATTGAACAATTATGAAAATACATATCGTGTATGCATTTTGTATTTAAAATGAGCCAACTTTGTATCAACATCCTCCGTTCGATGTTAATTTACTTGCAAATTTGACCATACGAGGCGATCGTTGTTTGTATTTCGTGTTCATAACCATCAATTTAAAATTAATATAGCAAATTATTTTTCTTTTTTAATTCGATGTAAATCAACTTTTTTTCGATCAAGATTTATACATTTTGTAGTATTTAAGAACAAATGATTGCGATAATTATGTAAACATTTAATATACTTGTTATTATATATTTTTAATTAATACATTCTATTCGTCCTTCAAAATGTTTCGCTTTAAAACGAAAAAAAAAGAAAAATCAAATTGTCACTTACCAAAGCCAAATACATGCAGGTCCAGCAGCACCTGTTTCTTAGTCAGCTTCGACTATTCTGTTGCATACAACTTCCGCCGTTGCACCTGCACCTGTCTCAATTTTTTCACTACGAATAAATTTTCAATGCTCCTGATTCAGCGTAGGGAGATTGTACAGAAGATTCTGATTGTGGATTCAGGAGATTCTAGGAAGCGTATTCTGCTGTAACAAGGAAATGATACATGTGAAAAAGGATGCCAAGGAGTCAAACTAATTACTATGAAGGGTATGAAAAGGTGTTTGTTTGATTGGTGCGGGTAAGGGAGAGACAAGGCATTATTATATCGAAAACTGAACTTCAATTTTCCTTCTACCACCACGTGTAAGTCAGATAAAGTACAATTTAACCCAACAATTTACAAATGACGTACATGTAACACAGGTTTGGATGCCAGGCGTGTAAAGAAAAGATACCAAGCATTTTTAGATAAATCTTTTTTTAATAAACATAGGCATTCACTTATGAAGGTTAGTTTTTTAGACTCTCTTACGATTATGGTTTATATAATATGTTGTCGTTACAGATAGAATTCTTACGCGAATACCAACTGGATATGAGGCACTGGGTATTTCTGCTCACCCTTTTTATTTTGACATTCACCCACACAAACAAACATCGTGCACACGTGCTCAAACATATGCAACCTTTCATACTCTTTCTATTGGGACTTTTACGTCACGTTTGAAACGCACATATACATCTATGCTTATTACAAATAAGAAGTACACGCTAAGTTATGTTTACTGAGATCATACTAATACATCACAGGGTTACATAGGCATAAGATTCTCTTTTACTATTTTTTTTCGTTTCTTCCCGACGGCAGACTACCTTCTTCCTTATGTCGCGATCCTTTTTGATCTAACGAGATTCTATAGTCGTTTCACGCGTCTTTTTCACGCTAGGTAGGAAAAAAAAAAAGAAAAGAAAAGCTAAGATCAAATTTGTCCCTTATGCACAGTCTGCCGTCGAACATCGTTTTGTTTCGATAATTCGTCATAATTTCACCTGCTTATCCGTATGAGTAGTCAACGAATTGGAAGTTTTGTCGAGGAGGAATAAAATTTAAACGTGCTCCGTACAAAACTGTTACTTCAATTTGATTTCTTATCGCGATGCTCTCATAGCACGAGTATCGTAGCCATGAAAGCGCTATTGAAACATCGAATACACAGTAACCGGTATGAAAAACGACCATTAGAATTCCACAACGAATCAGTTCTACCACTCATAGCGCACTTCGCGAGTGAACTACGAAAAAAATAGCTTGTAACCACCAGTCGTATTTTTGAATTATAATCTCAAAGTGGGAAAAGAGTGAACGGAAAAAGTGTGCACCGGGAATAGGAGGATACGATTCAAGGGGCATACTTCACAGGATGGCGTTAACAAAATTATCATAAACAAAAAGAAAAAAAAGAACTTGTAATAAACAGCTACCATTATAAAATCAATGTACCATTTAAGATATACAATTACATTTACATTAATATTATGTTTTGTGTAAATTCATTCACGACGAAGAAAGTAACGAAGGAAAGTTTTGGTTTGTTCCAAAATCTGTAAACAGTATGTACGTCAAACACCTCGTACTTTCGTTAACACGGTAAAAAACGATTCGAATACAAGTTGCATCCTTGCATAATTTCAAGAACCGTTTAAAGACCTCCAGAAGCTACGATTTGTATTTGTACTCGTGAAATGTTTCCAAATAAACCTACACATTCTCTTAGGTGTAAGCTGCGCAAAATTTCAGACTACTACTACCATCTCGAAGAAACAAAAAATGGTGTACGATTTCTATATAGGCTACGGAGAACTTTCAACGGCTTTGATCACGCTACACCACCAATACCTAAAATCTGATCGTAAAACATTAAAAATGCGAGTAAATTCTTCGTGATGATTTGTACAAAAAGATGAACGAAGATAGTAAAGATAATAAATTCATTTAAAAAGCCAAACGAAGATTGCGTCTTATATTTATAGAACAGCTATAAATTTGATTGTTATAATCCATGAAATACGTAAGTAACACAATTTGATCAATGGTTTCTTTCTCATTTATAGAAAATATATCGAAAAAGATTACAATCTTCACGAAGCTTTAGATTTTTAAATATACTCTAACACTTAACGGGATTCATGGTGATGAAGTGAATAGGAAAAATGAGAATGGGGAAGCCAAATGTGATAAGGGTTCCTTCTTCGAAGGTATAAGGTAAGAAAAAAGTCGCGGGGGTGATTTGGCATCGGCTGTACTTTCTTAAAATTGTACAGGAGATCAATGCTTAAACATGGGTAACCAACTACAATCTAAATCATATCTTTCTCCCCGTTAATTGTCCTCCAGATTGGTCTCTTTTCGGCTACAAAAATATGATTGCGTTCCTTTTGTATTCTCAAATGTGTAAAAATCATGATCGAAATTTCGTCTCTTATATTTTTGTACGTTATACGTAAAAAAAAATCTAATGTCGTATGATTTCGCGACCGTTTCAAGGACACAGTCAAAACTGTCGCGAAATTCGTCCGATAGAACCAGCTTCGTTATTATTTATACGTAGATATGTATGTTCAAACATCTGTGGGTCCTCATTGAATGAAACAGTCGATGAAAACTCACAGAGTGTTGATCGAAACAGTCTCCGATTTCCAAAAATTAGCAGATCAGGATCAAGTAGTCTTTCTTGCGTAAATTTTAATAGAAACGCAATTCACTTTTACTTAATACCTATTTTTAACATGTACATATCAAGGTATTTATATATTTTTTGTCTGCTTACACTTACATCAAAATGTACCTATGTGTGCGACGACCTCGTCACTAACTTACTCTCGCTTCATATCAGAATTAAACGAACAATATATTACATTAATTAATTTCATGAAAAATTAACGTACTCACGCACTTTCTCTCTCTTCCTCTCTCTCTCTCTCGCTCTCTCTCTCTCTCTCGCTCTCTCTCTCTTTCTATCGTTGTATATATTCTAATCTGTGTAGCCTAATGCAAAAGAACAAAACGACACGAATGAGATATAAAAAAAGAAGAAAAAAGGAAAAAAAGGAGAGATAGCAACAACCATGGAATATCGTCCTTCTTGTATTCGTACTTCTAATTAATGTCGTTGTTGCTACTATTTTGTAAATTTCCGTGGCATGTCTACGAAAGTATACGCAATGAAACAAACGGCACTACTCCATTTCTTTTTCTCCCACCGTTTTCGCCTATATTCATGGCGGATAAATCTACGTGAATGGCACAGCCAACGGACCTCGCGCCTCCTGCCAGAGCTTCTGCCTTTCTCGTTCCTCCTGGCAGTGATGCTTCGTGTTTCCGGTCCCACTCGCGCTCCAAGGAGATGGAAGAAGACAGCGAGGCTGAAGGAGGAAGCTGGAAGGCTTTTAGCTGCGTATCTGACCCGCGTTGCGAGCGATCTTCTCCGGCGGCTCTATCATGCTCTTCGCGCTACCGTTTAGGCTACGTTTACGACTCTTCATGAAGTCTGGAAACACACAACAAACGAAACATGTATACATACGTATACCACATGTATTACGCGATTTATTTTCAGTTTCGTTAATATTGTACATCAACGATACCGATAACAGGTGTTCCTGATATGTGATCAATGATGAAAACAATAACAAGTGTACGCACAAATACATACACACACACGTACTTCTGAATCGATGTGTACAGCTGAGAAAGAAATGAATTAACCAAAAAGCATTTAAATCGGAATGCTTATAATCGCATGCAATATAAAATTTGATCTCGTGCACGATCTAGCTAGACCAATGCACGTACGTCAAATCGCATTCCCGATAACCTTACGAATACAGTACCGACTCACATGCTTATTAATTATATCGGCGACTGATAAGATACGAGCAAATCATCGTAATATTCGTTAAAGTGTTAAAGCATGCCGATACGGCTCAACACAGCGGGACAAAGAGAGATAAAAGCGAGCAAAGAATTTCGAATAAGATACATGCAATTTCATTTCTTCCATGTACGCTTTGTTTGCGAACTTCTCGTGAGTCATGATATAGGAAGCTTGCAGAAAAACACAGTCTGCGCTAGGTTGATACTCGTAATCGTGAGTCATATCACATTGCTTTCAGCACGTACCAAACACAAAACCTCTGCCTGGCCCTTTCTCCAACCAACATTTGGCGAATTTCCACGAGAAAATTCGATACATCTGTTCGATTTCCCTGACTAACCCTCTGCATCTAAATCCAAATACATTGCCACGCGACACAAATTAAGGACGTTTCAGGGACATCTGTGATGCAGTCTACCTACTCCCCTTCCAATCGTTACGTTATGAATCGAGCACATAAAAATTAATAACTTCGAATGTGACACGTTACGCGTTATTATTACGAAACATTATTATGCCTTAAATATCCCTGAAACTTCCATATTTTCTTATCCAATATTTCTCTCTCCCTTTTTCTACATACATCTAAAAATCTCAAATTTATTTTACGTACATTATACGTGTTATTGAACGTTGCAAAAGTAGCTTCGTTCGATATCTACGAGCAAAATCGTTGTGTGCAATTTAAATAGCTCGAACTGCACTCCACACATGCGGGTTGCAATCGTCGTGCCGACTAATCCTGATTTTAAATACCGTTCGACCCTCGTAGCGTAGTACCATCCAGAGGGTTGTTTGTCAGAGATGCACGATTGTGAGCACAGCTGATACCCCCATGCGCGTAACACGCAGGAGGTATCGCTCGCAGAACGGAACGTGCGTGCGAACAAAAGCTGATGACGGAGGGGTGTACGGAAGAGAATGGAACGGGGGTGCGCGTTTCTATCAACCCCATATGGACTGCACAGCTGACCGCGTGCGGCTCATTAATAATGTCCGTTAGGAAAATCATTTTTGCGCCCCCATCGTACTCACGATCCCAGAACGAACTCGCGTACGTTACGAAAACACACGCTCCGTCTCTGCCGTATATTTGAAAAACAGACAGGGAGTTTGCTCATCGCAAAAAGGATCCTATCGGGAGATCAAAACGCGTCCGGTGTATCGATCCTGTTAATCGAATGGCGTGCGTATCGTACGATATTATCGTCAACTAATAACGGTCACGCGCAGCACGCGACCATATTCAGTCTAGTATCCGAATCAGTACGATGCAGGTAAATCCAATTACACGCAACTCAGTGCTGCAATTACTATTTGTCTGTCTCGAGTATATGAGATTATACTTTGGACTTTGAAAAAAAAAGAAAAAAGAGAGGAAAAAAGAAGAGTCGTCACGAACAAAATATGGACGCAATTTCACGAAGATTCCATCGATTTTACTATGTCTCGAGATAATGTTTTTTGGGATAATACCATCGGATGGGCAATTCCAAGATTCGCGAAAGGAACTCTCGGGGTATAAACAAAAGTGCGTGCGATGCTGCGGCGCAAAATGTGTTTACACGCGCGTAGATGCATGCGTGCGGGACATATGACGAGTCACGTCCAGAAATAGTCGCGTCGCGTGGGTGGTGTGCACGCCTGAATAATAAATAGGCGAAAAAAGGGGAACTAGACCGTGAGGTACGGGTCCAAACAAGATGGCCGTATGCAACATACAAACGCAACGCGGAAAATCATGTGCGACGGGAGATGTCGAACCAGACGGCGCAGCGTCCATTTAATTTTTTTTTTCCCCAATGAAGAAAACAGACGATATTAGTAACCAGATGGCATCACTTGTGTCTCGTTGTCTAGACGATCGGTAGAGAAATTACGAATAATATTTATCGTTATGTCATCCTTGTTTACGTGCGCGTACGACGAATTATCAAGCGATAACTATCCGGGAAAAAAATGTGGTGAATTTTATTCCGTAGATCTTATCAATAACTATGAAAGTCCAATTCTTTTATCTATCTTTCAATCCGTAGGTATAATTTCACTGTTCACTAGTTAAATAAGCAATCACGTTGAACTTTATCATCGACACGACTATAAACTGACACGATGCAGTATCTTTTGCAACGATCGGAGAAAATCATTAGGAACAATTTCTTTCTGAGAAAAAAGCGCGTACTCGTTCGATCAGTGACTGGATATAATTCATTTCCTAGATCAAGTGTTTTCGTAATTACGTAAATTACGATGACCTTTCGGCCGACGAATTAGATTGACCTAGGATAAGCTACTTCCCGCATAAATAATGCCAGCAAATTAACTTCGATAACATGCGTCGATTAAATAGAATAATTCAGGAAACCTCATGTCCCCGAGTATGTAATTACGTAACTTCTCGCGAACAGATTGGCGCGTGGTAAAACGGTGCGGAGAACACTGTTTTTTAACGAGTGCAACGATAATCTTAAAAGTATTTTACTTTTTGTTTGCTCGTGTTGAGTATGTAATTTATGACACAAAAATTTAGAGAAACAAAAAGAACAAAAAAGAATGAAGTAAAAAGTGAACAATTAGTATTTTGCACGATAATGCAACGTTTAATTTATCTTAGACTTCTAGCCTATGTATGCAAATAATTAAGAGTTATCGATATCATTGCAAGTAACTATTCGACTCCAAAACATGCTATTCATTCACTGAAGAAAGAGTTAATCTCTCCCAATAGGGTTGCATTAAAAAATAAGAGAAAGAGTTCTTATAATACAGAACATAGTAACCGGCATGACGCTCTATCTCTAATGGTATCGTAAGAGTGGTAAGCGCACAGCGCACGTGCTTGTGCACGTTGCCATCCTACTCCACATCGTACACAATACAAGTGATGAGATTAAAAAAATGTATGTTATCACTTACCGGTTATGGAGGACTGTTTTCTCGTTGTGGAGGTTGATAAAACAGGGGTAGTGGGTTCAGCGATGTATATTTTCTTGTCCGAATCGAAATCGAACAAATCGTTGGTGGTTATTTCGCCGATCTGTGGTACTCTTGGCTCCTGTGGTGGCGTCCTCTCCGATTTCGATAAAATCGGAGTTACCGGAGACGAAGAATCTTTACGGAGGAATCTTGTGGTGGGCGAGGAATCTCGTAGTTTCCGAGGCGTACTAGGTGCGTGTTTCCTTAAGTAGGGCATACCTCGTAGGGCATAGGGTTCAGGCACGACATCCTGTGGTGTAACTAGCTCCCACTCGTACCTCGAATTAGCTTTTGGTATCTCCAAGTGAAAGTCAAAGCCCCATCTTTCGGCATCGAGTATGGATTGAGCGCGAAGCTCCCTTTCCGCCAATGCACGAGCTGCGGCGTGATCCACGGGTCCGAATAAATCCCTTCGAACACGGGCAAGGGCTGCTCTGTTCGGCACCGTTCGTCCTCCACCCAAATTCCTGCTCATTTCCGTCATCATCACCGGATTCAACACTCGAGCGCTCATATTTCGTTAGTCTTTCACGCCGGCAACGTTGCCGTTCTCCCTCGCAGTTACCAATAACCAAGCGTTTTCACGAATAAACAGCTTCCGTTTCTCTTCACGCAGTCACTACTTTTCTCACTCCCCGTCTCCTTCCGTCCTTCTTTCCTTCAGCGTCACTGTTTTCGATTCGCGATTCGCCACTACTGAATCTACACAACACGATCGATTTTAATAGACGCGCGGCGCTGCTTTAGAAGTCGACCTTTTTTGCATTGATTTTTACGCGTTACATACATACGTCCCATTTACGGAGATGATTCTTCTTCCAGGAATTGTTCACAGTACGTTGAAATACTCGCGGCTCGCGAAGATGTGGCAACGTTGTCGTGGCGCGACACACCGAATTTCGAATAATGGCCGTGCTCAGCGTCGCCTCGCGACTACGGTGATCGTTGAGTGGATCGTGGGTGCACCCAACACTTTCTGACGTTGATTTTTTCACGGGGCACATCCGCGAATTCGAAGTTAGATTTAAAAACTGAGTGTATCATCGACAAGGCGAAGGGTGTACGACGAAACTAGAAAGTTTGGCAACACGGTAAACACAGTATTGCGTATCACGATGAAAGAGCGAGAGGCAAGACAGGAAAACAGTAACAACTATCTCATATTTCATCAGAGATGGGTATACAACTCCACAGTCGGAACAACCGAAATAGATGTCAGCAATCGAACACGTTTCCAGGTTTTTTTTCTTCTCTTCTCACAGATCTGTCGCTATAGCCCGCGGGAAGAACAAACCGGCAACGTTGCTCGCACTTGCGCGTGAGCATCCAAGAGACGGCGAACGTGTTTCGACGTATTCCCGCGAAGGTTATTACCACGTTACTGTTGAAATTAAAAACTGATCGTGCATGGGCCGTCTGAGTTCACAATTATCACGTCTGTGTAATGTGAAGCACATAAATATATTACACAATATTTCTCGCTCGGCAAAAGAATATTTAGCGTAAAACGTTATTGCACACGGCCCGAAAGCACCAATATGCTGTTCGCTGACGCGGTGGGGAGCCACTGAATCGACTCTGATACTGCATAAACTCTAAATGAAAACAGTACCGCGCTTCCCGCCAAATACACGACTGTCAAGGCACGCGCGTGGTTCCAAGTTCGGCGGAAGGTCGTATACGATTGCGCAGTTATGTTGACGCTGACGAGGTACGTGCGTGTTCTGTAATGCACGGAGTTACGCGAAGACACGTTCCACACGTGTAAAGCGCTCTCTAGCGACTGAAGCATGCGCCTCTCAATGCAAGTAACCAAGCCTCTAAATACATCGGCTGTTTTCGGCTACCTTCGGTTCATTCGGTGTCACCCCTTTTTCCTCTCCGCGCGTCAGGGAGAAACGAAATAACCGCCATTTGCAGAATATAGTTCCTTCAACCTGAGCGCACAATTTCAAGCCTTTGAAAATACGTACGAGAAGGCTGTACAGTTATCGGCCCCTTCCACGGCAACATAAACGAGTAGAATGCTGATTGTAACCATCGGATGCGTCCCAGTATGCCAACCTCCATGGTAAATACCACCCAACTTTACTTTTCTGCATTCAGGGGGACTGTACTGCCGAGAAGGTTGGGATAAGTAATAGGTCACTGTTGTCTCCTTTACCACTCCCATTTTCACCACGCGCGACTGCGTTCAATGCACGATCGAATCTGTGTTTGATTCAAAGTAAAATACGATAACTTAAAAATTTGGAATTATAAAAAGCAATCTTTGAATTTCGGGTATAATGACTTCTTGCAAAGAATAGTTGCCTCGTTTAATCAACTGTAAGATAAAATTTTTTGATATATGTTTGATAAATTTATGATATATGTGTGTATGAGAAATGTACAAGTGATTGGAAGAAAAAAATGAAGCGCATTGTATGTTGACAAAGAAACGAAAAATAAACAAGTCCAGCTTTCAAAACAACGGCTGTAATCTTATCACGGACACTCGTGCGTACGTTTATTCGGCGGATTTCCATGTTTGCATGGCAGTACGTTACACACGGTGAATTTATTTGCATACTCTTCAGATTATCATCGTCATTTTATTTCAACTGATATAAGGCTACTGTCTCTAGGCACTATGGTGAGAACCAGAATATGTTTTGCAAGATGTAAAAATAAAATCTCGTCCGGTATTAATGTTCTCGACAAAGCAAAGATGAGTTTGGTAAGCAGCATTCGTATCTACTAATTATAAGTCTGACTTCTTACATATTTGAATTTATTGATTCAGCGAATTGTTTGCATTTAAATAACAACTATGCTTTTAAATATTTCAATGATTGATGTAAATATTTATATCTTTATACAGGAATGAACATAAGTATTGATTCATTAACATTATGTAAATGTAAAAAGTGAATTCGTATTTACTCGTTAAGCTTTATGTATGTGACAGTTGATGATTCTTAAGCAACAGATGTTTATTGCGGCGCTGCTAAGAGAAGATACGAAATAAACGAGGTAAATCGACACTTTTCAATGATAATTGTCAATTTACCTCGTTGTTGTTCTCGTGGCCTAAATCGTGTCTCGTATGGAAGGCAATGGGGAAATAGTTTTCTGTCGCGTACGAAGCAACTCGCGTTGAACGAACCGTACATAGACGATCGCCGCAACCAATCAGGGAACCCGTGTGCCAAGTAACGTTGAATAGTGTTAGTGTATATCCGTCTGGTAGAATATGGCTGACCAACTGGCGCTACTGTACATTCGCGGGAAGTTTTAAATGTTCGAACCTAATAAAATTCGAAGAATAACTTCGTACATATTATCTTTATGTTATATCGATCACGTCTTCTTTATAAACGTTTAAAGGGACTCAAAGAAAAATGTCTCTTTGCTCATCTTGAGAATATTTTTTCATCTGTAATATTTTACCGTTACTATCCAATTATTCTTTGGTCCTTAAGATATATTCTTTATATTGTATATTACGGATAACTACTTTATCGAAAATGAACAAAGATGAAAAACATAAAAATGTGTGAGAGATGTATTCGGAGCGGAGCAGATTCTCATGAGAGGACTGCAAAGCTTGTTGTCGAAAATGAAAATCCCACGCAACATCCAGGAAGTGGTGAGGGTGGCACCGGATGCATCTCAATGAGGGGAGAACGAGCGAATGAGTCGCGTAAAACAATCCTTTTTGCGTTTCGCAAAGACTACCGTCTCTCTTTCATCTGCGGTTAGGTGGGGTACCCGTTTAGCAAGGTATTCCGTTGCACAGGTGTTTTCTCATGGTTTGTCGTAAACGAAGGATAGAAAATAAATATGCACCGTTTCCTCTTATAACGTCTTCTACGTCTATCTCTCAAACGATGAGCTTAGGTCTATTCTAGATTACTTCTCAAGGAAGCCTTGTGTTATACATCCTGAATAGACGACCGGAAGACGCGTGGCTGCATCTGTATCACTGTGTTTACTACCAAAAGACTCACCTGTTCCATCAGTAAAAGTATTTCACTATCAAATCCAAGTTTATCGTTGGTATATGTATGTTATCTCGTCGCGTGCACGCCGCCATAGAGTGAAAATGTAGCCGTGATAAATCATCTGATTCGAGACCAAGGTGGTGGATTGAAACTGAGGATGAGGACGAGAATGAACGAAATTTTTTTTAATAGAATGACTGTTCATTTTGTCCAATAGAAAGTTCTTTGTAAGGATCATTCATTGATACTTCATTAGCGATAGCCGTTAGTACATACACATATAGTCGTTCAGCATAGAAGTATTGAATGGTTGAGGGGGCGAACAATGAAGATGGTGCACGTTATACGCAAATATCTTTTGTCGTACTCGCGATTGTACCCACTTCCGTGGGAATTCGCGGAACGGAAGTGCAATTTCTGGCAATGGGTACACCGCCATCATCGTGGCCAGCTTCCATAGCGCGAGTAAAGTGAAAAAAAAAGAACGATTCTTAAGAAACGATGCCAGGTGCACACGCTGCCTTCTCACGAGAACTTGAGATTAAGTTTAAGGAATCGTGATACTCGTGGAATCAAGTGTAACTAGCGCCGGCATTAGTAATAATTACATTTTAACGACGTCATTCTGTAGCAGAGGGATGCTTCATTCGTCGGTATCATTTCTTCGGTAGATACATACAGCAGATGTGTCATCTTATTCTCGTGCCTAAGATTCAGGTCACACATAAGTCATGCACCATGTGCTTCCAACCATCCGTCTGTATGAATCTCGTGTCGCAGTTGCTTTGTTTTATTAAAACGTAGGAGAAATGAAAAGCATTTGGAAATCACACACAAGATTATAAAGTTATAGATATAGGATTATAAATATAATATATTATTTCATCTATCTATAAAAAGTACAAGGTCATCTGTATAATTTATCCACATTATAATATCATTCGTTTACTAATCACATATATAACAATATTAAATAATCATGTAAAATGGAATAAAATCAAGATAAATAATACAATAACAAATATCACGACAAATGATCTCGAACGTTCGATTGTCGAATTGTCGTTACGAGTGAGAATTTTTAATAATTTAAATAAAAAAATTAACTTTGGTTTACTAGCTCCTCAGACACTAAATCGTGTCTATTCTGACTAGAAGTCGAATCAGTGTTTTTTGCGATCAATAACTTCGCAATTTTTATCCGAACTTTACTTATTCCAATTTAGTCAACTTCATAGTACAAAACTTGTTTTCTGGTTCCATTGACAAAAAGGAACTTTTTGCATCAGCAAAAAAGTCAGCATGAGCAAAGTATTTTGTAATTACGTACGTTCACGTACTATCAGTCATTTTTTCGTTATCTTTGCCTTCCACGTGGTCCTGCATCGTAATGTCATCGTCTTGCACGTCTTCTTCTTGCATCGTTTGTAAATTTTCTATTCGATTTTTTGCCTCTAACGGATTACAGATTTCATTTCCGTGCTGGTCAAGTTTCACCCATACATAACGACCAGGTAGAGGTTCTTCTTTCTCGAAGTCGAAATTCCACCTTTCCTTAGCCTGTTTTCAAAAAGAAAATACAATCCAAAGAAAATTCAATCAATAAATCACTCCCGATCAAGATGAATTATGTCTGATTTATTACGCACGTTTTCTCGATTTTTTCGTGTCTCTTCAAAAAAACAGTTGTCCTCGACACCAGAATTTCGTACCGATTCCGTTTCGTTATCATCGTCTTCGTCTTGAAAAAGTCTTCTTCGCACGCTACGGAGTCTTCTTCCCTCTTGTATATCGATGTTTGGATATTGCATCATGAGTCGAGCCCTTCGCACATTCAGATTAAGTTTACGTTAAAAAGAAAGAATCGGAGAAAGAGAAAGGATTCGTTCGAGTCAAGTTACTGGTAATAAATTAAAGAAAGCTATGACAAATATATGATAGAAGACTAAAATGTTATGCAGAGAAACGAAAGTGACATGCTATGCATAAACAGGGATAAGGGAATTCTCAAGAGTATATGACAACTTTAGTTACTAATGCTACGCACGATTTAGCATAGATAATAGTTCTTTGTAGTGTGTAAACAATGTGATTGTATCGTGACTTGCCGCGTTGCAGAGTATGCAAGCCTGCGCACGTGTGTTGGCAAACGAGAAAGAAAGAACAGAAGAGAAATCTATAGCACTCTCGGTCAATGTGCCGTTGAACGGATGTATTGGAATGCATATCACTTCCTGTACGAACGTAAGATTGCATACGGGATAATAGATGTTATTCAACTTATAAACGAGATAAACTTTTACGTATGACATCAAATCTTTGATGAATTACAGTTTCTCAGGCGAATATTGCTACTGTAATTTCTTTTCTAAAAACGACTGTTTCTTCGAGTCTTCTCTACAAAAACCATACGAATAGTTAATCCTCTACATTGCTATCACTCGAAACCAGGCATTACTATCTTAACGTTTTGTTTCTATGCTCGATCATAAACTGGTTTTATATCGGAACTTTCGCTAATATCTAATGAACCTCTTGCTTCCCAATCAACTTGAAATACTTACGAGACAGGCAACCACTAATGTTAGACATCTAGTTGAATTTGGTATCCCAGAATGAAAGTTGAATACGAGCAAAGAATGCAACATTGTATCAAGGCAATTGGTTTTCTTTTTTTGTAAGGTTATACACACAAAAAGAGAAACAAACGTGTGTAACAAATTACAGTCAATTCAATTTGACTTTACTGCGTTAGTTAATTCTTTTAAGATTAATTGTTCGTATACGTCGTTAATCACAAACTGCAAAAGTTGTCGAGCTACAAAAAAACATTCATTTTATTCCTATTCATTATCGGACTGGCCATTGTAAATAATGAATACTTGCAAGTTTAAAGTATGCAAATTAATATTTTTTCACGATTATTCAACGTTAATCAATAATGCGCAAAACTTACTATGGAATAAATCTAAAAATAAACATGTAGCATAAATCATGCAATGAATGACGCAACGAAAACACCCTCGGTAAATCAGAGAATCCGTGCTGACAAGCATGCACCTGTTCGACCTTTAAATTTGTTGTTTTCGGTAGCGATATTTTATATTACAAATCAATTTATTCATAACGAGGATCTCTATGAACAAATGTCGCTAATTATATTACTTGCATTGTTAAAATTTTATCAATAAAAATTGATGTCGTGCATGATCTGTTCACCGGCTGTAAAACCGTCTGATAAGGAAAAGGTTAAAGTTCACATTGAAAATATCAATTCATGCAGAATGTTTCCAAGGTCTTGTGCACTAATCAAAGTATTAGTATTCATTCTTGCCGTGATTTTCATTTACTCACTGTCCGTGAAAGAAAATTGTCGTAGATTCAACGCGCGAATTTTTTTTATCACAGATCACAAATCACAGGTCACAGACACGTTAACACGTAATACAGTTCAGTCTGGTCTCATCCTGTAATCGAAACGTCGCGTGTTTTCCTTCCTCGAAAATCCGTCTCTACGGTGAACTGTCAGCTAGCGAAAAGTTCTTAGGTTGAATAGCACGCGATCGATAATTCCATCGTTTTCGTTGGGGGTGTGGACTGGTACTAAAGTACGAGGGGGTATTTTAGTGCGCGCGCACATTGCAACGAGAAATACTGTCAGTGCGCATTCGCACGGATATCGATATGTGACACTCAATATACATACATCTATGTGCAATAATATCTCTCTATCGTTGTACTGGATCGCTCAATGGTTACCGTTCGATCGTTATATATGTATATCGATCTTCTTTTTTCTTCTTTTCATTGAAAATACGTTGCACATATGGCCAAGTTAGAATATGCGATTTTTAGTGATATTAGCAAATAACGGGATTATTTTACACGACCTTGAAAACTAACCTGGATCTTTCGCTCGTTACTTCTCGATTTCCGGAGATATTCTGGTTTGTATCCGAATTCGAATCCGTATTGCATTTTGACTTCATATCCATCGACTTTGAGAGACACTACTGACATTAAACTGACTACGCTGAGAGCTCGATAAGTGCACAAAGAGGAGCGATTAGAATTGCACGCGAGGAACAGAGACGATGCAGCTGGTGCAAAGCTTAAACTGCGACTGACGGAAAGTCGGAATAGTTACTTGTATCCCAGGTGCAGCTGAGTAGCCTAGATTCTTCTTGCAGACTATTACTTATGTAGTGCAACAGACGCCTGCGCTAATACCCATTAACTGAATGATTGTCCGCATGGTGCGCAATAATACTAAATGGTGCAATTGATGAAAAAGATGATACATAATAATCTATAATATACGAAGTGACTCACGCAACTACGAACTAAGCCATGGTCCTGGAACTTTTTCTAAAACAAAATTTCCAATGGTGCATGGTCTGATGAAGATTTTCTTTTGACGATTTTAAGGTCGCCATTATCTTTGTAAGTGGAACTTTCAACTTTTTTTTATCACATTAATCGACGTATCTTTTTATGCTCTATAAAAAGGTATTATGGCACTCAGGCCGAGAAATGGTTACTTTGCAAGGTATTTTAATTTTAATTTTATACGTATCGTACGAAAGACAAGGAAAACGTAAGCGCAAAAGTACAATGCGTTACGTTTTTCTTTTCTATCTTCTATTTCAGAGCTACAGTTTGTTTGTTTGGTCATAATATATACACAAAATATTCTGTACATAAATATGTAATATATATACACAAAAGTAATACGAAGTAATCCATTTATTCGCGGATCGATGTCATCCATTAGGAAGAAACTCTAGCACCTTTCTGATGACGAAAATTATCGATTTTCCAACGAATAATATCTATCTTCGAGGAATCGATGAACATGACAACGTAAAAGGGGGTGATCGTTCGACGAATAGTTTTTCTCGATGGATCGTATGCCCGATCGGAAGTTATATCGATGTCACCGGGATAGAGTATCGAATTGTTATTCTCAAGCGGTAAACTGATCGTTCGAAAGCAATCGATCAATATTTGCGAGCTGGAATAAAATCGAACGAACCACGAGGGCGAGTTGTTTGGAGCAAGGAAAGAGGTTTGCTGTTCGCGTTGCCAAGGAGAAAAACTGAAACGTTTCCGTGAGAGTATAGTTGGTAGAATGGCGGGAAGTAGAACGGTAGGAAATTCTCACATATAGATACTCGTATTCTCCGGAGAATTCTTCGAAGGTTGTAAAAAAGCGGCAGCTGAGAGAGCAACCTCCTAGCAGCTCGATCGTCGAACATCTTCTTTTCTCGTTTTCCTTTGCCTTTTACACTTCCTTCGATGATTCGACCTCTCTTAACGGCTCCAGAACAACCGTCGCTTACCATACCGTTCCGGGCCGGTGTTCCGCGTCGTAACTTCCGAGGAAATTGCTTCAACTAGATCGCGCATAAATTTTGCCTCTTGCCTTTTTTCTGTTCTTTCTCGTGACTCTGTAGCAACCAGCCAGATACGTGAAAAAAAACGTTTTAATACGTTTCGTCAAAATCTTCGCGAAGCGCGTATATCAATTTTTTCCACCGTTCTGGTATATAGAATCGATCTTATAAATATCTCCCACGTATCTTGACCATTGGCGAGAAGACTGACTGACAAGACCTTACAGGTGATCAGTTCCTATAAAGAGTGTTTAGTAAAAAGACTTTTCACGTATCTCTTGTATCTATATCACGTATCATGATTCTCGTTTAAACCGTGTTCTCGCGGTTTGTCGACTCGTTTCTTCCCTAGCAACCCACGCAGCTGTCGATCATCGACGACGAGCACGCCTTTCGAAACGCTTCGACCAGCAGGAGCGCTTTTATACGGTGCCATCAATATTTTGCGTACCCAGCGACAGCTGATATTTCAAATTTTTCGCTCGACCCCACCTCTCGAATTTCAACGAACCCTATCGACGAGGAAAAAAGATGTATCGATGTTAAAAGATAGCCAGATGCAGACTCGTGTTATTCTTTCATATCGTTCTAATCGTTGTTAGTTTAACTTTAACTTGTATTTGATACACTTCTGCAACGAGTAATCATAATAAAAATAAAATCGTTAATAAGAATAAAATCACCGCTGAATAAGACATAAGATTAATGGCTCGTATCGCTATAATCGAAAGCCATAAAAGAGAACCATTAAGATAAAAGCAAATGTAACACGTTCTTCGCGGAATTTGCTTAATTTCATCTAAACGAATACGAAATAGCAAAGAACGAATCGAGTGTGTTGCTATCTATGTTTGCTAGCTATGTTGTTAGTTATTCCGCTTGAATTATACTGACAAATGATTTCTTACTGGATGGCTCAAAGAAATCTTTCATCGAGGAAACGTTCTGTGGTCGCTCCGATGTTCGATACGATGCAGTTCATTTGCATTCTTAACGTTCGTGGATCGCATCAGTCGTACAGATAATTATCCAGTCAAGGTGATCGCTAAAGTATAGTTGGTTGGATTGGGAGTAGAAAAATTCTTGATCTAGCGGTACGGGAAATTGATTATTGGAAAGCGTCCAGGTTAAAGTTTGCAGTGTTCACAATCAGCTTGAACGTTTCACGCGTGTGACCAGCATGAACATGTCCAGTTGATGAGCGTGTCTGATTAATATTAACGCTAGAGAAGCGAACCGTTACAGACCAAAAAAGAAGTACAACTGTAAACGCATTTTTTTACGGAACATCCAAACTCCCGTTCGAATTAATTCCAAGTGAATAGTGTATTTTGACGTAAACGATCTCTCATCTCTCGTAATTGGAATTTCGCCAAACAATTGCAAAGCGAAAGTTAACGAACGATATCGAAACAACTCTTTAAGTTTGATCGTGCCCTTGTCTTGGTTTGTTATCAACATCATGAAAATCGTATAGTTTTTCTTAATACCATTCGCTCGTATCGAACGTTCGATCGTCGAAACGATCGAAAGTTGTCGACATCGAATGAAAAATCGTGTTTTATAGTCGCACAAACGACTGTCATTGTCATAACGGTGTTGGTCATCGGACGAGACACGTCGCACTTTCTTTTCCGTTTTTTTCATTCGCACGAAATTGTCGCAGACCTTTTTCATCCTTGAAATCACTTGATCAAACATCGCACTGGAAGCCGTTCGACTTTAATTCCCTTATCGATAATTGTACGAGCACGGTAAATTTGTTTTACATAATTCGCGAACACGAGATAGGTTCGACGATAAAAAAGAATTTAACATCGGTAACCTGTAATTTCTCCGCAAACACGCGCGAGTCTCGTTCTGGCTAAAATATCACTTGTTTCTCGTTTGCTCACGAATCACGCAGTTTTTACAGTCTTCCGGCAACGCGGCATTTTAATCGAAACGATCGTTGAGATCGCATACGGTTCACGGTAAATCGCGCCCTCCTCAAACGATCGCATACAACAAATACCAAGCCGTTCTTATGAATGGAATGCATATTCATTCATTCCTTCGCAATATCGATGCACGTGTTGTTTGCCACGGATTTCAACATATGCTAAAATCTTTTTCGCCAACTGTCGCTTCCTGCATGTATCCACGGACCTTGAAATGTATTCCCGCCAAAAGGAATCACCTCGGTCACGCTCCGTTCGACGATGAAACGTGCAAAAAGAAAGCGGTGCTGCTATATAGAAAGGAAGCCGGACCTGTCTTTCCGATTCCGTCCCATTTCGACTACGGACGGTTCAGATCCCGAACTTCCTGCGAATAATACCCTAACCTTCTCGCTCGACAACCTTACGATCGATCAAAACACGTTTGCTCATTTTCTTGTCCTTTGTACGCGTTCGAGAATCGCGTTAAATGACTCTGATGCCGAAAGTGCTTCGATATCTCGAGACCTTTATGAAAAGAGGCAAAATAAATAGAACGAACCCTACCCATTAGGGACCAGACTGCACGACTTGGCGACACCCTTAAAAATTATTCCGTTCTTCCGACGTATGTGCTTTATCCTCTTTAAACGTCGCTTGGATCGTTACGGAGGGTCTCGTACAATTCGGAACGCCCTCGGGAATGTTTCCTGTCGGACGTTTTCATCCAGAGACGGACGTGTTTCCAGAGGCGAAAAGTTACGGTAGGAAAGCGAACGACGACTCACGTGTGACCAATCTGTCTCTGCGTCGCGTCGTCAAGAGACATTTATAGAAACAGGGAGACGGTGATGTCGGACAGCATGAGATACAAGAAACACACGCAAAAAGAGATAAGTCGGTGCGATTCAAGCGAATTGAAAATAGTTGAGATTAATTAGAGCGATGAGATTGAGATCACGTATCCTATGCAAAGCGGCTAATCGCTTTTGTTATGTCAGACGATTCGATAGCTTGAGCGTAATCGCTTTAAAATATGTACCCATTATCGGACCTGCTGATGGAATAACATTAACCACAGCACAATTAACGACTGAGTTATGCTTGTAAATGAACGGCACAAGATTATCAGTTACCTGTAATTCAAGTATACATATAATTACTTATGCTCGTTAGTGGAAGAGTTTTCATAATGGCTTGGAAACGCGCATAGGAAAGTTATACGCAGCGTGTTCCGTAAACAAGAATTATTAAAAGTTCATTAACCGGGCATTCCAGGCACGATATAACAACAAAAAACCATTCTACGAATCGTATGGTATATGTAAATACCATTCCTGGCAATAAGATTCACTCTATCGGTATAACTCTAATGATCTTTATGGACTCGCTGTCACCTTGTTAATCGATTTAAAACTCTACTCCAAGAATCGTCTTTCGCGACACGTATTTGCGTCACATCCGTTACAAACATTTAACGATTAACACGGTGATCGATGAATCATTATTCGGAAGTTGACACAGTTTCTCTTCCTCTTTCGATTCCTATTCGACAGGAAGTTTTACAATTGCGATTGTAAATTCAAGACAATGAATGGTTCTGAAAATAGGTTAAACCACCCACTGCTGGTCGCGAATCTAGACGCCTCTTCGGCTTTTCCGTCGATTCTATGGACGAAAATAGATTCACGTAGGTCGCGGACACAGCTGCGGATTTCTATCTAACATTTATTTCGTGTTCGCGTACCGTTCGCCCATTTGCGGTAGGTCAGTGACGTTACTCAGCCCACGTATCGCCTAACAAATGACACTCTTCCCCGACTTTC